ATAAATGATTTATCTTTTACATCAAACTTATTAAATTTTATTTTATTTGCGGATGATTCCAATCTGTTTTATTTACATAGGGTATTAAAACGCTTTTTAAAATAGTTAATGAAGAGTTAAACAAAATAAGCGAATGGTTTATATGTAATAAACTATCGCTTAACGTTACAAAAACTAACGTTACAAAAACTAATATGCATTTCATAAACAAAATAAAATAAATAATCTTCCTCTAAAATTACCTGATCTAAAAATAAATAAAATTAATATTACTAGACAAACATCTGTAAACTTCTTAGGTGTTATTTTAGATGAAAATTTCTCTTGGAAGACTCATATAAGCTCTTTGGAAAGAAAACTTTCAAGGAATATTGCAATAATGTATAAAGCAAAAACATTCTTAAACATTAGGTCTTTTAAAAATTTATACTTTTTTTTATACCTAGTTATTTAACTTACGGAAATATTGTATTGGCAAGCACCAATTACACAAAGTTGAAAATATTTATTCAAAACAAAAGCATGCTTGCATAATTGTATTTGGAGCAACAAAAAATGTGCCTTGCGAGCCACTTCTAAATAAGCTTGGATCATTAAACGTGTTCAAAATTAACATATATTTAGTCTTACAAATCATGTATAAAATAAAGCATGAACTGTCTCCAACTATATTTAATATTTTAGTGAAATAGGCCAAAAATACATAAATACACAAATACCCACCATATTCTCCAAATTCAATTTTGTAACTCTAAAATATAATATAAAGTTATATTCTTATTCTACTCGGTATCGGAGACCTTTTTATGGAAAAGTTTTAAACAGATTATTTATAGTACATAACAAATATTTCCGCAATTCAAAGCTAATTTAAAATATAGTTAAGTAAATATGGATTTTAATATTCTAAATATTGCCAGTCTTTTTTAGAAGTTATCAAACTAAATTTATAACGATACATTAACTTTATCAACTTTAATATATACTTTAATACTACTAAAAAACGAAAAATAAAAAATTAAATTAACTTTGCATTATTAAGAATATCAGTGTCTTTATCACACTTTTTTGAAAAATATTCATTTAATATTTTTATAAAATATTATATTTATTAAAATTTTTAAATATTATTTAAATTAAAATTATTATTATTATTTAATTTAAAATTAAAATAATTAAATAAAATATTATATTTATTGAAAAAGTATATGCTTTTATATACTATAAATATGCAGCATCTTTTATATAATATAATATAATATTTTTCAGATTGTAAAACCGTTTGTAATGGGGCTCGGTGATAAGGCTTGTTATGCCTTCTTCTTGCTCCAGCCATTTCCTTTTTTTAAATTTTTCCATTGTATATATTCTTTACGGTAAAATAAATGAAGATACTACTACTACTACTACTACTACTACTACTACTACTACTACTACTACTACTACTACTACTACTACTACTACTACTACTACTACTACTACTACTACTACTACTACTACTAACAGTACTACTGCTACTACTTCTACTACTACTAGTACTACTACTACTACTGCTACTACTACTACTTCGAAAGTTTCACTTAATCGTCAAATGGGTAGCTCAAGTATTTTTTTCACATGTGGTATGAAATGAAAGTATTATAGGTGGCTCAGGTCACATAGTAACACTGTTGCGATTGCTGAAAAAAAAAATAATGAATTTTTTTTGTTGTTGTTGTAGATGCCCCAAGTAGTCCTAACGGTCTTGTCACAGAGCACCGCTGAAGTGTATTTAATCAGAAAGTTCATACCTCCTTCCTTACCGTGACGCCAAAAATGTCCAAAGCTCGTTTCGAACATGGATCTCCTGCTTATAAAGCAAGCACTCTAACACTGTGCCACGGCCGCGAGTTCAAAATATTACCACACAATACATTAAAAATAAAGCCTAATCTAAAGTCCACTAAGAATCCCTTATTTTAACTCTTTTGTCAAGCTCAGATAAAAGAAAGTTTGCCATTAAAACGATAATGGATATAAGGAAAACCTCGCAGTTCAGAGACACAGCTGTAAGATCACGAGAAAGGACTTTTCTCAATACAGAAGCTTTATCTATTAAAGAGCTAATAAAAAAATATCAGAACCAGTGTTTATATGCTAAATCTCCACATATGATTTTGATAAATATCTGGTTACTCGGTTTGAAGCACCGTACTTTCCTCTTCACACGCAATCTTGGTAAAGGAAAGTAAAAGAAGTTACAGCAGCATTTTCAAAAAAAAGACGGTTTTGTGAAAGCATGAATGAATAACAGAAAAACTTTACCCAAGCTTAATTCAAAAAAAAATTTTAGTAGCCATTTTTTAACATAATTGTAAACAAAAAAAAATATTAAAGATTAAAAAAAAGATTAAAAATTATTAAAGAAATAATTTTTATGACTATATTATAACATAACATTATTTTGTTTTTTATGTTCTTAAACTAAAAATAAAAGTAAATAAAACTGTCAAATCAATGAATTCTGATTAAATTTTTTTTTAAACGCCCTTTGCCCCGCTAAAATAATAAAATAATAAAAAAAATATTTACGTTTTATCATATATGGAAATACGTAAAAAAATTTTTATACAGTTTTAGATTTAAACAGTTTAAAAAGTATGAACCACCTTTGCGTTTATGTCTAAATTAACAATTTTATGTTCCCAAAAAGTGCAATCCCGCAAAGTAACTTACCACGGTACTGATTATAAACTCACGTACATATATGCCCAACTAACACAAAACGTTCAAGAACGTTCGAGTACGTTCTATGACTTTCTTATAACATTCTTGAACATTTGCGACGTTTGTTGAACGTTTTGTGTTAGCTGAGTATGCGCAAATATCAGGGGCGGGCGCAGGTTTTTAGTTTACCCTGTCAAAAAACATTATTATCAGTGACGTAACTACGCCCGCTGTGCAAACAGAAAAAAGATTAAAGGGGGAGGAGGGCGGAGAAAGTTAAAAATTTGTGTGATTGCTTAGAGAAACTTATATCTTAGTTTTACTCGCCTTAATGCGAACACGATTCAAAACTAAGTTAACTAGTCATAAGGTTGATTTTAGCATTTTACCTAATACGATCTTTAAATATGGTAAAAAAACATAACCTGAGTCGATTACTTTTGGTCAGTTTTCAGTAAACACAGAATATATATATATATATATATATATATATATATATATATATATATATATATATATATATATATATATATATATATATATATATATATATATATATATATATATATATAAAGAAGAAACAAAGGTTACGCTACTTTCCCTTTGAATTGGTCAAACGCTGCTGTTGTGTTTTGAATTATTAAAATAATTTTAAATCTTTTTAGAACATTTTTAAAGCATTCGACTTATCACGATTTTACAAAGTAACTTTTTTGGGAATACTTCAGTTAAACCCTGATACAACGGCGTACATTTGTAACCAATAAAATAATTGCTGCAGATGCTGCAAAGTATAAACAAATCAGATTGCTACTTTTAGTAGTGAGTAACCAGTTAACTTTTTCAACATTCTCATTTCCTTCAAAGAATGATTTACATTATGACGTTTTGTAAAATATAATTTTTATCCTCTGCAAAGAATAGTTTCTACTGTTAACTTTTTTCAAAATACATTTTCTAGCAAAAATAAAAAGATCGGCTGTCTAATATTTGGCGGATGTTAGACGTTGTAATGTCGATATTTCTATTTATTTATTTACCCCGTCAGTTGCAGCACTTGACCGGTTTTAGATCCGCCCCTGAATATTTATTTGTCGCCTATTATTCAATTTAGTCGAGAGGTAAATGTGTGCAATTGCAAACCGGTAACTCCGGGATCGAACCGTAGTGTAGTCATAATAATATACTTTCTACTTTTAAAAAAACTTGTTTTTCTAGGTGTACACACCTATAGTATAAATTAGATTTACTTAGATTAGACGTTTTATTAAGGCAACACTATTTAGTAATTCTGTAAAAAATGAGTCTAACGCGAGTTAAGTAATATTAAAAACAAAGCCTAAAATCTGCTTTTTGCGGACTCAAAAAAGGAGTTCCTTGAAATAACACTTCTGCCGTTCTTAAGATCAGTGTATAAGGGGTGAAATTTGTGTGCATAGAAAAGCGCTATACTTTTCCTTACCCCCCTCCCCCCGAAAATTCAAGGATGAGAAAGGAAAATTAAAAAATTAAATGAAAAAAAAAAAAAAGTAAAAAAAAACTTTATCATCACAAACTTTAAAAACAATGCATAAACACTAATGAATCTTTTAATCATAAAACTTTTTAAATAATCTTAAATAAAAAGTAAATGAAATGTTGCAAAGCATTGTTACGTGTAAATTTTTGGATAGCATTTATCTTATTCAAATTTGCCAATGAAAAGGGTCCTAATTTTATTATAAGCAAGACAACTAACCCTTTTTTCTTTTTTTGGCTGCAAAAATTTTTGACTTTAATAATCTTGGAATGTTTCATTTTATAGAACATTTTAAAAAAGGTATTTTATAGAAATGCTTCCTGTACAACAAATAAAAACGCAATAGCTTGGGGTTTTTCACATTCATACTAACAATGCTAAGTTTTTAATTTATTAATACTGTAAAGGTTGACGTAGAACAAAAGTTTTAACGTATTTTTTTTAATGTTGGTTAAAAATGGCAAAATTAATAATGAAAATAACAAAGTAAGCTATTATTTACCTCATTTACACCCATTTTTTTTAAAAATAAAATTGTGTAGATGTTAATAAAATTAGCAGCATTTTTTTATATTTCCTTAAAGTTAATATTTATGTTCCAAAAAAGAGAAAAAGGTCTATTAAAACTTCATTTTTTTCTTGCTGTGACTAATCTAACATTTTAAAGCAATTGAAATTTTGACATTAATATGTCGCCATGAATACAGAAGATTACGAACGTTTTAAGCTCGATTACTAGCAGATTAATTCATCTACTCTACCGCTGACCATACATGTTTATCACCTCGTAAAATTTAAATAACAGGCTGATAATAAAAATGTCTTAAAGGCTGTGGCCTTTGGTCTTTCATACTCTTTGCACTTAAAGTTTCAATGACAACAAAATCTGTTCTGCTATAAATTTGCATTAAATAGCTTAGTATTATTAACTTATTTTAAAAATGTCTCCTGTATTTCTGCCTACTCAAGTTTTTAAAGAAGCAAAGAAAAACAAGATGCAAGGAAAAGCTGGAAGGGTTGTTAATTTTTTTAACAATTTTATTATCAATTATTATTTAATTTGTTAATAATATCATAAAAAATTTGTTTATATATATATATATATATATATATATATATATATATATATATATATATATATATATATATATATATATATATATATATATATATATATATATATATATATATATATATATATATATATATATATATATATATATATAATTATCATTATAATTATATTTAAAGGTTGTTACATCTTGGAATCAATTTGCTAGTAATCTAAGAGAGGCATTTCATTTGTATGTATCGGAAAAACAAGTGAGTAAAATCTTATTTTAAAATAAGTTAATACTCCAAATAATGTTGTAAGAATACTATTATTCAAGTTCACAATATAAGGCTAATATCATTGGGTTTAACTTTTTGTTAATCTATTATTTTTGATAATATTGTTGATATTAAATAAAACTAGCTAGCTATAGTTTAAATTTTTTGAGTTCAACTTTTTTATGTTGAACTCTATTTTACATTACAGTTTATTTATATGTTATTTATATTAAATTTTGTTATATTATTAGATGCAATTTTTTATTTTAAATAGAATTAACTTATATATTTCCATGAACATAGAAAAAAAATTCAAATTACAGTTAAAAATATATGGTGATCAGATTAAAAATTTATTTTTGACAATTTATATATATATATATATATATATATATATATATATATATATATATATATATATATATATATATATATATGCATACACTATGCCTAAAAGTGTATTTATTATTTGTGCTGTTATGATATTTATTTGTAGACTGAGCTAAATTTATTATTGGAAGAAATCCCACGAGAAATACGAAAGGCGTTACCACTGAAGTCATCTCTTTTAGCCATATCTCCATATTTGATGTATCTAATTCTTTATAGTAATTATATGCGATTTCGTGTATTGACTGGATTGGAAGAATTGCGCAAACCAAATATTACATTTCTACCTTGGTTAGAGTATTTGATATTTCATTTCTATCCTCACCGATTTTTGTCAAACTTTGCATCCCCTGTTTTAGATTTTTTAGCTGCAATACCGTATCTTATCCATTTCCCACTACCAGCTTTATTTTTAATTTATTTATTAATTGCTGAAAATCGTAGAAAATATATTTTTTCATTCCTCTGGTGTGCAGGATGGGTCAACCTAGTGACTATAATCATACAGTTAATTTTTCCTACTGCTCCTCCTTGGTTTGTTGATAGTGCTGTATTTGATAATGAAGGCCACTTCATTAAATCTATTTCCAATGAAGCTGGTTTCCATCGCTTAGATGCACTACTAGGTCATAACATTTTCCATGGAATATATTCTGCTTCACCTCTTAAATTTGGTGCTTTCCCATCTCTACATGTAGCTTGGCCTGCAATTATACTAGTAAATGAGCCATGGATCAGTAAAAGGTTTGCATGGTTTCACATGATATGGATATCGTGGGCAGCTATGTATTCTAACCACCATTATGCTGTTGATGCATTAGGAGGAATTCTTTTAGTATTTATTGTGAACTTTTCAATGATTAAAATTTGGAGTCCTTTTCACTCCTCTAGTCAATTAAAGGATTTTATAGTGCGTACACTTTACCTTAAAAGAACCGTAGATGCCCATATTCTTAGAGAACTGTAGTCTTTTAATTTAGATAATAATTTATTTATTTAAGCATGTTTACGTCGTTGAATAATTTATTTGATTTTGTTCTAAAAAAAATTTAATACTTTTTAATTAATTCTACATAGAAATTCTAGAACATCTTTGAGCTTTATGATTTTTCTTAGTTTAAGTTGCGTCAAAAATTTATAAATAATAAATATTTTAATTTTTTATAATCTATTTTTTTATTTCTACAATAAAAAATAAAATGAAATTTAATTAGATTTAATATTAATGTTTTTACTTGCAAAAAATGCTTTGTATAAACATGCAAATAAAAAGATGAACAATTTTTTTTTTTCAGTAAATTTTTATCGCATTAATAGTTATCAGGAAGTTGTATTCTCATTTGTTTGGTAAATCTATTTACTGGAAGTCTAGATACTGTTTTAAATAGCAAATAAATGTACCCTAATTTAATATTATGGAATGAATATAATTCGCTTTTTCCGTTAAAAAATATTTTTTTAGTCGTTGAGTTTTTAAATTTAAACGTAGTTTATCAAAAACGTAAATATTTGCAATAAAATATGCATATGTTTTAAATTATTTAAAGTAGAGCTTTTTAAGATAATGCTTTAGTTTCACTTCGTTCTGTTTTATTTCGTAAATTTAAGATGGCATTTGTCGAACTTTTGTCTTAACTATTAATTTTTTTTTTTAAATTAATTTTCATGAAAATAAATTCAAAATTTATTTTCTTAAAAACTCGGAATTAAAAAATTTTATAAAATTAAAGAAAAATAATTTTTTTTGAAATTTTGTAAAGTTTATTTTTCAAAAATATCTTGCTAATATATATTATAAATTTGCAAGATGTATGTATCTTTGTAAAGGTTTTTGTTTGTCAAACATTAAAATTGTGTTTAAGTAAGGTAATAAGGATTGTGTTTAAGTAATGTAATAAGGATTGTGTTCAAGTAAGGTAATAAGAATTGTGTTTAAGTAAGATAATAAGGATTGTGTTTAAGTAAGGTAATAAGGATTATCTCTAAGTAACGTAATAAGGATTGTGTCTAAGTAAGATAATAAGGATTGTGTCTAAGTAAGGTAATAAGGATTATGTTTAAGTAAGGTAATAAGGATTGTGTTTAAGTAAGTTAATAATCATCTCGTTAATAAACCGGAAAGAATATAGAAAAGTTAAGGAAAACTCAGTGAACTTGAAAGTTCAACTCAGGTGAAAACGTTCTTTACTCAGGGAAAAACTTTTAAAATTATAGTGGCAACCCTGTATTATTGCTTGTATACAATTTTGTGATGAGAGTTAAAGCTAGTTTTAGTAGTTGAAAATTAGTTGATTAACTTTTTAGCATAACTAAATTTATTAGTTGTGTTGTCTAAATTAAGCTAACCGGGTATGTCTATTATCTCCGCAATACGAAGATGAACAGCCAAAGCGATTTATTCGACAGATGACTACCTTCTTTGCAATAACCAATATAACTTCAGATCAACACGTAGCGTTTTTGCTTGCCGCTCTGCCGTTAAAGACCATGGAAGAATTAGCAGCACCGGAAGTTCCAGAGGATGTTTCGTACGAAGAATTGGTAACGAAATTGGAAACGTTGGAAATAATAAAGTCATCGTTAATCTCACAGTAAAAGTTTGGAAAAATTTACCGAGGAACTGAAGAATCTATACAGACGTTCGCGCATCGAGTGATTCGAGCAGCTCAAGACTGCAAGTTCTTGCCCTCAGAGCGAGACGGCCGACTTCGTGACTAATTCATAATTGACATTAATGATGGTGCCATTGTGCGTGCCATTCTTCGGGGAGACGATGCATTGAGCTTTGACGATTGTATTAAGACTGCATCTGTGGTTGCACAAACTAGATTAGATGCGGCATGTTTATCTGTAAATGAAGAAGTAAATGCGATTCACCGGATGACTGGAACGATAAGTTATACACGAAGAAAGAAAGAAATTCGATGTTACAACTGTGAATCCTTAAATCACTTTGCACGTGAATGTACCTCTTTATGCAAAAAATGCTTGCATAAACATGCTGCAAAAGACTGCTACAAACGTCAAAGAAACCAGGAAAACTTAAATGGGACGAGTTCGCTTTAGGTATCTTTACAAGAACTCGTCCCGAAACAAGACTACCTACTATTGACTTGGTAATAAACGGAAGAAAAGCTACAGCGCTTGTGGATACTGGTTGTTCGCAAACAATCATCACCAAGAGGTTACTGCCGCCTGACTATAAAGTGATTCGTGTAGTAAATGTTGCAACAATAGGCGGAATAATTCGATGCGAAGACGTTAGTGCTAAAATATGCCACCCAACGAACGGGTGCTTGGTGGATGTGGTGGTTCTAGGTGTGAATGAAGTAATAAACAAATACGACATGATTATGGGTATGGAATTAATAAAGACGTGTGATGGACTACAAATTGGCACTGGAAAACTGAAATTGTGTAATTCTTTGATTAAGTTGTCATCGAAACTTCGTGTTGCGACAATTGAAATTGGAACAAGCAAAGCTTATTTTGATGGCAAAAAATGGATTGTAAGTTGGGAGTGGGAAAACGAACCTAAAATGAAAAATAGATCAAGTCAGTATAATGTAGCTGACCAACATTGTGAGGCGTTTAACAACGAAATAAATGAATGGATCAAAAAAGGTATGCTCATCAAATATGATAAAATCATGGGAAAACCTAAAGGTCTACTACCGTTAATGTGTGTCATTCAAGATAATAAAAAGAAGATAAGACCTGTGCTTGATTATCGTGAGCTTAACGCGTATGTAAAAGCCTCTACAAGGGATGCTGATGTCATCAATGATGCAATGAGGGAGTGGAGACTCATGAGTAAAAACAGCAATGACTCGGTAGTAGATCTAAGAAGAGCATATTTACAAATTCATGTGCTTTAAAGGCATTGGCCTTACCAGACGGTCATCTATAAAAATCAGCGATATGCACTTACACGTTAGGGCTTTGGTCAAGTTTGGCACCAGTGATGATGAGCTCAATATTGCGGTATGTTCTCCAACAAGATTCTGCACTGGTAAAAACAACAAGAGGATACATTGATGACACCCTAGCAACCAATGGAAATGGAAGAAAGCTGGTGATACATATGAAGAAATGGGGTCTCCATGCAAAAGCACCTGAATATTTTGGCGAAAACCCAGTTCGTGCACTAGGACTAGAAGTCACAGTAAATCCATTAACAAAGGAGATGTTTTGAAAGAGAGGACACGAGTTTCCTATTATTAAATCTGTGCTCACAAAGAGGGATATATTCTCATTATGTGGTAATCTGATTGCTAATCTATTAGTTGCTGGATGGTTGAGACCGGCATGCAGCTATATAAAAAGATGTACAAACGAAGCAGGTTGGGATGAACCTATTACGAATAAGTATGTTATCGAAATGATGCAGGAAGTTGTAGATAAAGTCGTGAAATGCGATCCGGCAAAAGGTGTATGGAATGTTAAACCAAATGCATCTCTGACTGTATGGTGCGATGCAAGTTCGCTGGCAAAAGGAGTTGTGATAACGCAAGGTGACAGAAAGATAGAAGATGCGACATGGCTCCGACCAAAGTCTGACGCAATGCATATCAATGTGGCCGAAATAGATGCATGTATTGAAGGTCTAAATATGGCATTGAAATGGAATCCAAGTGATGTCTCCATTAAAACTGATTCTCATAGTGTATTTAGTTGATTAAATTCTGAATTGACTCGTGACAAACCTGTGAAATGTGCTAGGCAATGCGAAATGTTAATTCGACAAAGACTTCAAATATTTGAAAAATTGGTCGAGGATTATGTCATAAATGTAACTGTTACATGGGTACCAACAACTAAAAACATTGCAGATGAACTCACAAGATTGCCAACAAAATGGATAAAAAACAAAGTTGCAACACAAGAATGTAATACCATTTGTAAGTACGATAAACAGCAGATTCAAAAAATTCAAGTTATCCACGTTACCAGAGACACAGTGAAACAGGTTGTCGCTGAATGCGATGAATGTAACTCGATTGACCCTAATGTGATGTTGTGGGATAAAGGAAATCTTGCTGTTAGCAAAGTATGGAAAAGAGTAGCCTGCGATGTTACTCATGTTGATTCATTGCTATATCTCACTTGTATTGATTGCGGCCCAAGCAGATATACGTTATGGACACCATTAAGCGACGAAAGTGCAACTATGGTTGTTCAAGCGTTAGAAACAATATGGTCAAGACTTGGACCTCCTTCTGAAGTTCTTCTAGATAACTCTAAGTCATTTAGATCTCAGCTTATGCAAACTATGGCTGCGAAATAGGAAATAAGGCTCTTTTGGGAAATGGAATAGTTGAAAAAATTCATCGGACGGTAAAAAGAACAAATGCAAGAGTAAAATGTGGTATTCCTATGTCTGTATTTTTAATCAATAACGTTCCATCAAAACACGGCACACCTTTTGAAATATTTTGCCAACATCACAAACGAGTTCAAATTCCTGGAATCGATAAAATCGAATCAACACAAAATTTGATGACAGAGTGTCGTGAATGGAAAGTTGGCGACAAAGTGTGGGTGAAACCCAAGCACATAACGCCGTGTACGCAACGATGGCTGAAAGGAAGTATAGTGGAATTGCATAATGGTTTAACAGCTAAAGTTGATGTCAACGGACATACGTTACCACGACATTTTTCTCATCTGCAACGTCGTCGTGTAGACACAAAAGAAGAAGATACAACAGATGATTATGATTCAACACTATTTAAACTTCCCGAAACAAGCTCAAAACACATTGTCAATGATGATCCAAATCTTCAAATAATTCCTCCGGATAATGGTAAAAATGACAATAGTACGGGCAGCAATCAAAACTATTCAACAGATGGTGAGACAGAGTCACAGCCTGTTCAATTCAATCGCAATGGAAGGAAAGTACTTCCTAATCGGAAGTACAACGATTACGTATGAGCTCTTGTTGAGCTTAGGGGGATATTGTGTGTCATTAATAATTAGCGTGCTAATTATTGACAA